AGGTGCTGCTATCTGTGGCCTTTACAAATGCATCCCTTCCAGGTATTGTGTGGTAGGGTGTCTTAGTGAAGTTTGTTTTTGTTTTTGCCAGCATGTGCCATGCTAATATCTAATAAGCACTGCTGATAGACCTGCAATTCCTGTTCTTGAGCATTTACTGGAGAATTAATGGATTAAAGAAAGCAGTACAGAGGTAGTCATGCTAAGTTTAGAGTCAGGCTCACCAGATCAAAACTACTTTGTTTCCCCCTTTTCCATAAAAAAAGAGGAGGGCTAGGGGGTGAGAGACCTACCTGAAATGCTCTTATGAGACTTAAATGAGCTGAAATGTAAATATAATGGTTGAGGCAAAAAAAAATAGGTACTTATCAAACACCTATTTTGAGTAGTGGCATAGGTGCCTGGAAAGGAACCATGGAACTTCCCACCCTCAGGAAGTCTAGTGAATTACCAGGCCCAAGCCTAAAGCCTGGAGGCGCAGTAAACTGTGATTCAGAAAACAGTGACATCTGAACCTGACACACCTGGTATCAAGTTCCAATTCTTTCTTTAACTTTCCAGGTGGCCCTGGAAAAGATAAGTCAGTGAAAGTAACCTTTCTTGGGAAAAGGATCTTTGCAGATGTAATTGAGAACCTCCAGATGAGATCATCCGGGATTATCACAATGGGCCCTAAAGCCAATGGCAAGTGCCCTTTTAACTGATAGACAAGACATGGCGAGAAGGCGGAGTGAAAACAGGCGGAAATCGGAGTCATGCAGCCACAAGCCTAGGAGCACCAAAGCTAAAGGGGGCAAAGGGTTCTCCCTGGAGCCTCAGGAAGGTGCACAACCTTGCCTACAGTGTGATCTGGGGCTTCTAGCCTACAGAACTGTTAGAGGATAAATGGTGTGGGTTGACCCGAGTTTGTGGCGTCCGTTTTCTCATCTGTAAAATGGGGATACTATCCGAACTAGTCTCAACTTTCTGACGTGGACAAATGGGATAAACGCAGTCTGGAAGAATGGGCAGACCTTAAAAATAGTAACATTTATTGAGAGCTTATCATGACCATTCACTATTACTAAGAACTTTGATTTAGCTATCTAGCTATCTCTATTTTATTGATCAGATCATCAAGACTCAGAGAAATTGAATACAGCCCCAAGGCTAGCAAGCCGGGGGAAAAAAACCCAAAACAGGATTATACAATTCAAACCGGCTCCCGAGGTTTCCCTTTTATCTCTCGCGCTGGAGGCTGTCAGGAGAGATGCAAATTAACTCGCTCTAAAAACATTAACTACTTAGTTTGACTTCGGGCTCCAGAATGAACCATGCCTACCTACCAAGGCGGCTTTAAAAAATCAGACCCGCCCTCGAGAAGCGCCGCCTTCTTCCCGGCGCGGGAGCGACAGGGTTAATGACGTCACTTCCGGGAGCCGCTGACACGCCCTCGCCGACGGGTCGTCTCAAGGGCCAAACCCGCTTGCGTCCCAGCCATGGTTCTTCCCGATGACGTAAATAGAGGTGGACCAATGGAAATGCCGAACTTCTCAGGCTAATCCCCCGCCCTTTCACCCCAGCTCCCCAGCGGAAGAAGAAATCCGTAGACCCGGGGGCGGGGCAAAACCAGGAAGCGGAAGCGGCGGCGGGAGCCGGGAGCTGCCCAGGGGCGGCCACCAACACGTGTGCGGTGAGTGCGGCGAGCCGGCCGGGGCGTCTGCTCCTGGGAGGGATTCGCCCCTCGCCGGGCGCTGGAGTGGGGGCCCTCGGGGCCGCCGGAGAGGATAGAGGGGCTGACCCCTGTCACTCGCTGGGCAGCCTTCAGGGATCGTGTCTGTTCTGGGAGCTGGGAGCCCCTCTCCACCGCGTTGTCCTGAGAATGCAGCCTTAGCCTGGCTCCTTTCACCCTCTAGAACCCGGGCCCGGGGTAGCTGCGCTCAGCCTTTTTGTCGGACGTTTGACACACGGTCAGTGCGAGGTACCGAGTTTGCCAAGTTCTGAGCGCTGAAGGGAAACTTGTTGGGAACGGAGATGGGGGACGGGGGAGTCTGACGAAGTCATCTTTAGGCCGACCTGAAGCATGACGAGAGGCACCCTGAAATCCCGAAGCCCCGGGGGAAGGACTTTCAAGTGGAAGAAGAAACTTGGGCGGAGCGCCGGCGCTGGGAGCTGTAGAAAAGGAACCAATGCGTTGAGCTCGGAGTGCAGTGATACAGGATAAAATTACAGGGGTTGGGTGGCGGGACGAGGTTCTGCAGGGCTTGGAAGGCCCTGGGAGGGGAGTTTAGATTTTTCTCTACAGGGGAATGCATTGCCGTTTCTGTTCCCATTTGTAGAACACAGTGAAGGCTTCAAAGCAAAGGGAAATCTTGCTTATAGACCCTGGTTGTCTTTAGAAAATGCCTGTAATTTGTGTTATTGTTGGAGTTTATTGATAATGATTTGGATTAAAGTGGTAGCGAAGATCAAAGTTGGAGGGTTAGAGGTGTTTTTGAAGGGGGTTGGACAGGACTTACTGGAGGCCTGAATGTAGCAGGTAAGTGAGAAGATAAATCTTAGGGTTTGTTGTTGTTGTTGTTGTTATTGTTGTTGTTTTTTCCCTTGAGTGGCTGATATGCCATTGGATGAGATGGAGAAGAAGAGGGTGGGAAAGATGAGTACTGTCGTTGGTAAATTTGTATCTCACGGGGATACAGGTTAGCAATTCTGCACCCCTTACATGTGTGCTAGGGTTAAACAATACACAAAGTGTAGGCACAGAGAGGCAAGTTTCTCACTGTCAAGAGAAACTGTCAGAGAAAGAAGTTACAGATTAGCAGGAGTGGAAGAGTAGAGGACCCTGTGGCACTTGATTAGGTTTGGGAGACACCGCCAAAACCAGTTTGGCTCAGAGGCTAGAGCATGGGCCTGTGGACTGGAGGGTCCCAGGTTCAATTCCGGTCAAAGGCATGTACCTTGGTTGCAGGCACATTCCCAGTAGGGGGTGTGCAGGAGGTAACTGATCCAATGTTTCTCTCTCATGGATGTTTCTAGCTCTGTGTCCTTCTCCCTTCCTTTCTGTAAAAAATCAATAAAATAATTAAAAAAAAAGAATTGGGAGAATTAGTATGAGCTTATTTAATAGGTACAGAAACATCCAGCACTCATATAAGGTGAACTTAGAACATGTATCAGAAAGTAGGAACATGATTTTTATTTATTTATTTTTAGATGGGGCTTGTCAAAAGGACACAGCAAACTGAAAGATTTCCCACTGACCACTGTTGCTGAACAAATTGAGCAAAAAAGTAATAGGTTATAAACCAAGTAATAAAATATCTGTGAGGCCATACTGATGTAAATAAATGATTAAATAAATCAACAGAGGAGAAGAAACAAATGTTCTCTACAGAAGAATTTGGAATAGCAAAGGTAGAAGTAATGAAGGAAATAGAAGGTCACCATTAAAACACCACAGTTTATGGATGCAGGGAAGATTCACTGGATAATGCTAAAATTAGTGGGAGGAATATAAAAGATTGCGTAATCTCAAAATATATCACCCAAAATATTTCTTAGTTGCATGCTGATTTTAACATACATATTTTAACAAATGCTTTAATACTCCTCTGTAGGAAGTAGAGTTTAATTCTGCCTTCATTTTAGGTGAACATAGTGACTTGATTCTAATGAATAGAGTAGAGAAAGGGAAGCATAGTAACTTTACAGTGGAGAAACCTGGCCAACGGTACCTTAACCCTTAACCGAGTGATAAAGGTTAATATTGCCAGTCATATTGATACCATGTTCCTCATAATATGATGTAATGTCAGGGGCACTTCATCTCTGTGGTGATCTTCCCCCAACATCCATTAAGCCAGTCTTAATAGTGAGAAAATAATCAAGACAAACCCCCTGTGAAGGATATTCTCCAAAGTGCCTGACCAGTAGTTTTCCAAAGTGTCCCAATCATGAGAAACAATTAGAGACTGACAAATTATCACAGAAATATAGTATTGTCTAGGGATTCTAACATCTACCCTAGGGAATCAACTTTAAAAATTTAGGAATGAGTTAAATATACAATTTTGGAAGGTGGAGAAATAGCCAAATAACTTGCCTTTGACATATTCTGCTGCTTTCAGGATTCTTGGGTAAGTGAGGGCTTATCTGTTGTCTGCCCTGTGTACCATGGGGTTCTGTACCCCAAAGTGACCTGTTAAACAGGTTTCTCAAAATATTCAATGTTTCAACGCAGTAGCATTTTGAGGGACACTCAAAAAAAAAGAGTAACACATTGAACACTTGAAGTTAGTCTTTGTTTTAGTTACATTGTGTTACATAGGAAACTTTTAGGTAATCTTTTATTTTTGTTCATTAAATTTGAATCTATGGTAAATGCAACCTATTTCTGGCTTTTTAGGGCAGAGACCCAAGAAAACAAATGGTAATATTTTCAGTTTCTCGTCACAGAATCTTCCCAGGTTATAAGAAACACAAACACTGACTTGTATATCATATTTAAGGTAAATAATGGTCTGTTTTTAGCCAGTACTATTGCTGAAGCATTGCCTCCAAATAAATGACACTAGCCAGGGTGCACATGTGCAAGTTTGTCTGTGTGTGTTTGCTCTTATTTCTTTAAAAAATATGTTTTTATTGATTTTTTTTACAAAGAGGAAGGGAGAGGGACACGGAGTTAGAAACATGGATGTGAGAGAAACATTGATCAGCTGGGGATGTGCCAGCAACCAAGGTCCATCCCCTTGACTGGAATTGAACCTGGGACCCTTCAGTCCGTAGGCCAGTGCTCCATCCACTGAGCTAAATGGGCTTTGGCTGCTCTTATTTTTTATGTTGGTATTTATTTCCCATTGTAAAGTCTTAGAAGCAATGATTGTTTACTTCCTGGACGTGTGTGGGTCCTCACAGGAATTGCCCAGTATGTAAGAACTCCGACTAAATGTTGCAGTGACTACTTAATGACTTAGATGAGAGCAATTCAGTGATCCTTTTGGGTTTTGTTTTCCAGAGTTGCCATGATGGAAGTCAAAGCAAAACAAAAGTTCACAGGAAAAGGTACAAAGACGTCACAAGAAAAAAACAGATTTTATAAGAACAATGGTAAGAAAGCCTTTCCAAACTATGCTACTCGTTTGGCTTTTATAATTGGAGGGAGGGGTGCCAGCTAGTGATATAGTTGCCTCATGTTAGCCACACTAATTCACCACCGTGTATTTTAATGTTTGATAAATTGTGGTTGATTAGTATATAATACTGATAAACTATATACTTTTATCTTTAAGATTTCTAATTGTAATGTCTTAATATTCCATCAGATGTCAGTATTGCAAAATAGAAAAGCCAGTCTTTTTAGTGATTAAATGTTTCCTAAGCAAGCTTTGCTTGTTTTTTCTTACAGCAGGCTTAGGACATAGCTGTTGAAGTTTTCATGTTGTTAGGTATTTAATTGCAAACTTTGTTGACCAAAGATTTTTGTCAAATAATTTTATTATAGTGTTTGAAATTGTTTTCAAAAACTAGGATTTTTGAAAAATTAACATCTTTAATTTGCTTATACCTCCTAAGTTTCAAGTGTTTGTTTTTAGATTCCTACGATGTTATTGAACTTTTAGAAGTTATGTATAAAGACTAATAATTTGGAGTCATTAAATTAGAATACAAAGGCATATAAATAATACCTCACTTCTACTCTATGCATAAAATAGAGAAATACACCAAACTGGTTATCCCTAGAATATAGTTTTTAATATGCATACTTTTACTTTATAGGTTTTCTGTAATGCACCTGTATTATTATAATTTTATAATCAGAGGAAGTTTTTAAATTTCAGTTAGGTATTTTAAATCCTACTCTGCTCCATATTTGAGAGTAGGACAAAGTATTTTCAATTAGAGGGTATAATTTTCTGTAACAAATACAACCCAGTGGATATAAGAGATCTAGGCTCAGGATCATTGAACTAATAATTACTTTGTATCTTCACTAGAGTCTGGTTCTTCAAAGACATTCCCAAGAAAAGTTGTTAAGGAAGGTGGGCCTAAAATCGCATCTAAGAACTTTCAGAAAGGTGCCCCAAAACCAGGGAAAAAAGGTGTGAAACAGTTCAAGAACAAGCAACAAGGGGATAAAATACCAAAGAACAAATTCCAGCAGGCAAATAAATTCAACAAGAAGAGGAAATTCCAGCCGGATGGTAAAAGTGATGGTAAGCACTGGTTCCTTCGGCGTGGTTTCTGGGGAAGCCCTGCCCTACCCCAGCTGTGTCCAGAACCCCTGTGCACAGGGACTGTAGGAATCTGTTAGAGGCCTCCCACTCTTGTTCCTTGACAGGCAGTCTTTGGGGTGGGGGCGGAAAGTGTATGGGATTGCCCTGGCCGGTTTGGCTCAGGGGATAGAGCGTCCTCCTGCAGACTAAAGGATCCCAGGTTCGATTCTAGTCAAGGGCACATGCATGTGTTGTGGGCTCGATCCTCACTGGGTGTGTGTGTGTGTGTGTGTGAAGGAGGCAGCCAATCAATGATTCTCTCTCATTGATGTTTCTATCTCCCCTCCCTCTCTGAAATCAATAAAAAGATATTTAAAAATATATATATCTGCTTTGGTTAAGGATGTCTTGGTGATCAAGAGACATATAGACCGTCATTTCACAGAGCTTAGGTCAACCCATCAGATGACTCAGGTCCAGCAGGCAGTTTAAGGAGGCTGTAGAGTACACCTGGCAGTTTGACTTCCTTTGGTTCAGGACAAGTTGCTCACTGATGGGATGTACTGGCAGGGCTGTCATGTATCTGTTGAAACTCATGCTCATTTCATCAGGCTATTCCAGGGGTCATTTCTAAACTGTCCAGTTTGGCTTAGTGGATAGAGCGCCGAGCTGTGGACTGAAGGGTCCCAGGTTCGATTCTGGCCAAGGGGACATGCCTGGGTTGTGGGCTTGATCCCCAGTAAGGGGCGTGTAGGAGGCAGCCGATCAATGATTCTCTCTTGTTAATGTTTCTATCTCTTTCCCTCTCCCTTCATCTTTGAAATCAATAAAAAAATATATATATATTTTTAAAAAGAACTGATTATAGCTAAAGTCCAATGAACTTGATGTTTCAGTACAATTTATTTTACAATTGAAAAAAATGCTTAAAAATTCTGAATTGCTTTTTTTTTTACCATCCTTTTGTTTTCTTTCTTTCTTTCTTTCTTTCTTTCTTTCTTTCTTTCTTTCTTTCTTTCTTTCTTCTTTCTTTCTTTCTTTCAAGTAGGTATCCTCTTAAGAATCAATAAATAGCTACTGAATGAATGGATGGCTAGTTTGAACCAAATTTAAAACGTATAAACTTTTTAGAGAATGAAATAAAGTATAAGCCTATAGAGAATGATATTTTCCCTCTTCTAGTTTCTTCATTGAGTATATGTAGATCCTGATCAGTGATTGCCCTATGTACCTAACTTATACTTGTTTGTGGCACTCAGAATGTTAAATGTAATTGGAAATAATTTGTATAATGACTAGAATCAGCAGCCAAGAAACCAAAATGGGATGATTTTAAAAAGAAGAAAAAAGAACTGAAGCAAAGCAGACAACTAAGTGATAGAACCAACTATGACATTGTTGTTCGGGCAAAGCAGATTTGGGAGATCGTGAGAAGGTAATGCTACTGAGTGGCACCTTTATTAGTCTCTTTGAGATGATGGAGGAGTGAAAGTATGCCTTGTAGATAATGAGATGTCCTAAAAAAAGTGACATAGTACCTGGGTTATTTAGGGAGCATTCATAACACTCCAGTGGAGGTATCATATTTGGATATCTTGTTTTAGAAATGTGGGGATCACTAGGATGGTGTCAGATATATTATGAAAATGCATTCGAATTAAATTGGGTTTGACATCTTTCCTGAAAGATTTCTGAGAAAATGAAGGACAATTTCTTATCAGCTAGATTTTGGGATACTTAAGTCTTTGGTGTCTTGCACTTGTTTTATTACTTTCTTTACTTTTGAAGTTCTGGCTGTGAAGGTTTAAATTGATGCATAAAATTATACTTTGTGAGATGAATTTCTGCCTTTGAGAAAATTACTTCTCTCTGGCTGCTCTGGAAAAGTAATGTTAATGTCAAAAGATTTGCTGCCTTGGAAGAGAAAATCACACTTAACTGGGTGAACATACACTAAAGTTTTTAGTTTCCCGTGTATAAAATGTCTTCATTTAAGCTATTTTCCGCCCTCTTTAATTCTCTTTTATAGAAAAGACTGTGACAAAGAAAAAAGAGTGAAGTTAATGAGTGACTTGCAGAAGTTGATTCAAGGAAAAATTAAAACTGTAAGTAGGGCAAAATTACATTTGCAATTTTAACTCTTGAAATTGACTTACTCTGTAAAGGGTAGCTGGCCATTTATGACAAGTGTAATTGTTTTAAATGCATTTAGCCAAAATTTTCAAATAATGACTAAATAAAAAATTTAATAATTAGAGAAATTACTGCTGGGAAATTGTAAAAAAAACACACACAAAAAAACACAAGTATTTGGCTGTGTCATTTTAAAATAATTTACTTAATATAAATCAGTGTTTTTGAAAGTTATCTTGAAGAATTTCAAGTTGAATAGTATAGGGTAAACTGTCTTCCTCTAGATTCCCTATTCTTTTGGATGTTCACTTTTTAGGTGTGTGACGCAAACATTATTACTTCTTTCTTCCATGCTTTTACAAACATGCAAAGATCTTTCAAATGTCGTAGATTTGGGAGTTCTAACGTAATTTTCATTGTTGATGGCTAGCCCTCTATTATAACTGTTGACTAGTGTATTTGTATTAATACTTAGTGACTGTTCACCTGAGATTGCAGACTCAATAGCTTTGGGGATCTGGAGGAGGGAGCGGCATGTGCCAAACCATGTACAGAGGTCTCACAGGCTACATTGCAGTTAGAGGGGAAGTTCCCCGCTGCTGCTTTCTTATACATCAGGCAAGATCGTTTTAGAAAGAACTGTTTCTCTGCTCTAGCATTCTGTTATCCTCTATTTGTAAACATTTTATACTCAGGATCCTCTCCCAATTACTCTTAGATTATTAATGCATGCCCATGGACGTGGGTGTTCAAATCTGATGTTCAGTTCACTATATTGCTTACCATATTTGTACCTTTGGACAATTACAATATATTTATTATGTACTGTGTGCTAGGAGTTGTGCTAATTAGTGCACATGTTGTCTCTTTTACCTTAACGGTATTAGGCGTTTCATATATCCGGGACTCAGACAAGTTAACTTTAATCTTCAGGGTCACAGGGATTGCAGGTTCCTTAATGTCTCATTTTTTTTTTTTTATTCTCATCTGTAAAGTGGGAATAGCAACAGCCCACTCTTAAGGTTGCTTGGAGGTCTAAATGAGAAAAACATATTAAAACCATGTATATTGGATATGTAGTAAGTAATCAAAATATGTACAAAAGCAGCCTTATTTTTTAAGAATTGTTTCAGTTGTAATCATTAATGTCCATATAAATACCCCTTAAGGAATTTTTCTGAAATCTGTGGCTTTGATGGGTATGTGCCTTCACCTTCTGAATTGTTGGAATTAAAACATTTTAGAGACAGACTGAGCAACTAATAATAGGCACTATTAAAGTAGACAGGTACTATATCATAGTAAAAAATAATTTTGCATACCTGATAATAGTTGTTTCTATAGAAAATTGATCAGCAAGTCCTCCCTTCCTTGAGGACCTAATCCATCCAATAGTTGTGATGGGGGAGAGGGTTAGGGTAATCAGATTTGAAATTCAACAAGCTTCTAGGAATATAGTTTGATATATGTTCAGGGAATCACAATAAAAATGTAAGAAATGGAGGGAGTAACTTGTGTAGTAAGACTGTTTTAGATTTATATCTGGTTGCCGAAGCCAAACTTTGTTAGATTTAAAAAACCATAGAATAGAATTTTTGAATAAGAAAATCCCTTTTTCAGAGAAAGTAACTTTCAGAGAAATGAGAACTATGGTATGTATAATCATTAGACAAGTTTGGTTTGATTTTTGGTTTTAAATAATAATGATTGGAATCTTGCACCTGTCTCAGTGCTGTATTGTAGGCAGCAAAACCATTTTGTATTTGTACTCCCCAGTAATCTAGATTTTTACTATTAAAAACAGGTATTTTTACTCCCCAGTAATCTAGATTTAATTTTATCCATGAAGACCCTACATTTTACCTAGCAAGGGATTCTGAAAACGATAGCAATAAAACATAATACTAGAGGCCTGGTGAATGAAATCTGTGCACTCGTGGAGGGGGAGGGGTACCCTCAGCCCGGCCTGCACCCTTTCACACCCTCAGGGAGCCCTCAGAGGATGTCCAAAGCCAACAGTCAGACATCTTTAGCACTGCTCTGGAGGCAAGAGAGGCTCCCACCACTGCTGCCCTAGACGGCAGTGAGCCCAGCTTCTGACTCAGTAGCACTCCCCCTGTGAGAGTGCACTGACCATCAGGGGGCAGCTCCTATGTTGAGCATCTGCCCCCTGGTGGTCAATGCATATCATAGCGACTAGCCATTCGATCGATTTGCATATTAACCTTTTATTATACAGGACTAGAGGCCCGGTGCATGAAAATTCATGCACTGAAGGAGGGGTCCTTCAGCCCAGCCTGCCCCCTCTCACAGTCTGGGAGTCCTCAGGGGCTGGAGGTGACCTGGTGATCAGGGGAAGGTGACTCCCCAATAAATGTCTGCTGCTGCCACTGCCGGCAGCACAAGCCTCGACTAGCCCTGGTTACCTGAGCTTCGGGCGGCCCTGGGCAGCTGAGCAGCCACCTTCTGAGGCTTGCCTGCACTTCGAGCTGTCCCTGGGGCCTGGTGGGCTGAGGGGACTGGGGGACTCCAGTGGCAGGTTGCCCTGATGGGGCTGAGGGGACTGGGTGCCGCCATCTTTGAGGGCGGGGCAGTTAATTAGTATAGTCCCTCCTTATTGGCTGTGGGTACCACCATCTTTGAGGGTAGGGCAGTCAATTAGCATATTTCCTCCTTACTGGCTGTGGGCACCTCCATCTTTGCAACAACGTGAGGGTCAATTAGCATATTCTTTCTTTATTGGATAGGATAGGTTAGGATAGGATGATAGAAACATAAATCTCAGAGAGAATTAGTCTAAGGCCCAAACTGTCTTTTCTACAGATTGCATTTGCACATGATTCAACTCGTGTGATCCAGTGTTACATTCAGTTTGGCAATGAAGAACAGAGAAAACAGGCTTTTGAAGAACTACGAGGTATTTCTTATATTTTGAAGATTAATTTTAATCATTTATAATGAGTCGCTTGTTTTCTCTTGAAATACCCAAGACTGTCTTGCATAAGAATTCTGTGTGGGATAGCAGTTGTGTCCTCTGTAGGACTTTTTAAATTTTTATTTGTTCTTTGCCTGGGATAGACAGAGGGCTAGTTGTTTATGTTCCCAAGATGATGCATTTATTTAGTTCTTTCCTTTGTTTCTAAGGAGTCATTATAATACATTTTGTTTTCCAGATGATTTGGTTGAATTAAGTAAAGCTAAATATTCCAGAAATATTGTTAAGAAATTTCTCATGTATGGGTGAGTTGTTTTATTTATAAAATATATTTATATTAGTTTTTTAAAGATGTGGGTGTCGATTGTGTGCAAATGTTTCTTGAAAGTCTGTGACCATAAGAACGGCCTTCAGCCGAAACCGGTTTGGCTCAGTGGTAGAGCGTCGGTCTGCGGACTGAAAGGTCCCGGGTTCGATTCCGGTCAAGGGCATGTACATTGGCTGCGGGCACATCCCCAGTAGGGGGTGTGCAGGAGGCAGCTGGTCGATGTTTCTCTCTCATCGACGTTTCTAGCTCTCTATCTCTCTCCCTTCCTCTCTGTAAAAAATCAATAAAAAATATATTTAAAAAAAAAAAAAAAAAAGAATGGCCTTCAACAGTTGTTTGTAATGTTTTCCAGGGAGTGTGATTTTAAAAATAAATACTGAAATTAATGTGAATTGATAGCACTGCCTTCACCATTCTTAGTGTATATCTTGAAGCCCTTGCAGAGAAGTAGGATAATTAACTTGTAATTTGTTAGCAGTATTTAGAGGGGAGAGGGTTGGGAGGCGCAGGTGAGTACACGCAGAGGCAGAGGCAGAGCCAGTGGTCAAGAAATGTCAAGATGGACCCTAGCCAGTTCGGCTCAGTGGCTAGAGCATCAGCCTGTGGACCGAAAGGTCCTGGGTTTGATTCCGGTCAAGGGCAGGTACCTCGGTTGCAGGTTTTTCCCCAGTCCTGGCCTTGGCCGTGGCACATGCAGGAGGTAACCAATGGATGTGTTTCTCTCACATCAGCATTTGTCTCTGTCTTTCCCTCTCCCCCATTCTCTCTAAAAATCAATGGAAAAATATCCTCGAGTAAAGTAATAAGAAGAAATCTCAAGATGGGAGGATTTCTGGAATTAGGTGGAATTTATATTTGTCTTGATTTCTCTTTCTGAGTGTAATAATGTGCCAAAATATGTTAATCAACAAAAAAGTACTGCTGACAAAATGTTCAACAGCTATTCCTGACTATGATTATCAGCTGCTTGATTTCAGGATGTAATGTTAACTACTTGTGAATAAGACCTGTTTTAAAAGAACATCCTTAGAATATGTCCTTATTTCTATGCATTTTTGACTTTTACCTTCTCCTTTTTTCTTTCCCTACTTTTTTCAAGCTGAATAATTTAATGGGAACTGACATTTATTGAGCACCTATTTCTAGCCGGTCACATCTTAGCTCATTTAATGCTCACATTAACATTATTCTTTCTATTTTATGGATGAAGACGCTGTGGCAGAGAGGTTAAATAACTTGTCCAGCGTCTTGCAGCTGGTAAGCAGAGCCAGGTTTCGGTTATCTCGTAACTTAGAAGCTTGAGGTAGAAATACAAGGCAGTTTGATTTTCTTTCCCATAAGCCTTTCTCTGAGGTAGACACCCCTCCCCCCCATGATGAGTTGGTCCCAGGAGTTATGATGGTGTCAAGTTATGTTTCGTTGTCACCCAGCCTCCTCTGTGTCACTTACCCTTTCCCATTATCTCATGGGGTTTAGGGGTAAACCGCAGATTGCGGAGATAATCAGAAGTTTTAAAGGCCACGTGAGGAAGATGCTCCGACACGCCGAAGCCTCGGCCATCGTGGAGTACGCGTACAACGACAAAGCCATCTTAGAGCAGAGAAACATGTTGACGGAGGAGCTCTATGGGAACACGTTTCAGCTTTACAAGGTAGCCCTTCAAAGCATTTTTTCTAGCGTTCCTGCTTTTCCTCTGAGCTGTTACTTATTATACCTTCTGATGCCTTGTTTTCAAACTGTATTTTTACTTTGGCTGGTCCTTCAAGAGACCATCTTAAAGGACCCCTTTTCTTTTTCTCATGGATTATTTTGTCTTTTGTATAGTGAGCAAGTGATTATACTTTCTCTTTCATCCGGACATTATTTTTAAACCCCCTTTAAATTGAACTACTGTTGTTACTCCCTCCCGAATACTGTGTGTAATGCTTCAGTACTTCCGACTGTGCAGTCAGATAGGCCGAGGTAGAAGCCTCTTAACAGAAGTGAAGCTGTGTCACCACCCCGACCAGCTCTGGCAAAAGTGCATTGGGCTCCCTGTTGCTGCCTTTTCCTGTGTTTCTTCATGTGTGTGGATCACTCTTCTGCAGCTTGTATCTAGAGAGGAATGGGAGTAGAGAGGCCCAACCTTGGATACAGTCACAGGGATTGAACCTGGAAAAGGCCAGGAATGGGTATAGAACATTTAAAGGATCTATTTCAGATTTGGGAGGTAAATGCCCACATTTACCTCCAGGGATATGGATTAATTTCTGGGTTGCCTCTACCAGTCAGGTTAAAGTCCTGGGTTGAATTTAGTGCTTTATTTCTAATGTAACTGTCACTATAGGTGAGTACAAAACACAAGTTGGCAAGGATTTTCAGCTGACTACCTGATTTGGTGATTAGGCATGTGTGCTAGGTGCTTGACCTGTTGGCTCGTTGAGTTGGTTAGCCTGGCTCTTTTAAGTACTTTGGTGGGCGTACACACTGAGAGTGAGATAATAGAGAATTACTCCACAAGTGTATCTGCGTCATTAAATTTAGAGGGGTTTAATTTTTCTTCTGTTGCAGTCAGCAGATCACCCAACTCTGGACAAAGTCTTAGAAGTACAGCCGGAAAAACTAGAGCTTATCATGGATGAAATGAAACAGATTCTAACTCCAATGGCCCAAAAGTAAGAAAGCTGTTGCTGTTTTGTTTTTGTTTTGTTTTTTTAACAAGTAGCATTTGAAGGAGGGAAGTTTTGTATAGCCCTTGTATAGAATGATAGTTTTCCCAATGTAATGTTATTTCAGTTGGATTGTAAGACTTAGAAATTGGACATGTGACTTTCTTGGCATTTGGACCCTGGTGAAGGGATTAAGATGTAGCCTCAGACCAGATGGCCTGGCTGTGAATCCTAGTGCCTCCTCAGTCACTAACTATGTGACCTTAGGCAGCTTAACCTTTCTGTGCCTCAATTTCCATATCTATGAAATTGGGATAGTAATAGTACATATTTTATAGAGTTTCATGAATATAGGTTTATATTTCCAGAACACTCAGAACAGTGGTTTGCCCCTAAAACCAGTATGTTTCTGCCATCTATTTAAACACTCAATGTGAACTTAAAGTTGTTGGTGCCTGATCATCAGCCTCCACTGTAATACCTGAATTCACCAAGTGTCACACTAGGAAGTTTGGGTCAATTAGGTGTTGCAGTTGCTGGTAATGTCTTGATCTACTTGGGTTTTAACTTTACTAAAATTATTTTATGAAAGTGATGCAATGTGAAGGGTGCTTGACAGAAAGAAAATAGATTTATAATCATGTGTTCATTGTTAGGTAAAAAATATATTTAAGAGAGTTTATTTAGAATGATTTCATTTGCTGGTTAAATACTAGCAATCTGTATCCTGGTTTTGATCATAATGGCAAGCACTAAAATATTTCTATAATCTAAATTATATAATCTATAATATATTTTTTTAAATTATATAGTCTACATTTAAAAATATATATTATTATTATTGATTTCAGAGAGTAAGGGAGAAGGAGAGAGAGACAGAAACATCAATGATGAGAGAGAATCATTGATGGGCTGCCTTCTGCATATCTCATACTGGGGATTAAGCCTGCAACCTAGGCATATGCCCTGACCGGGAATTGAACCGGGACCCTCCAGTTCACAGGCTGATGCTTTATCCACTGAGCCAAACTGGCGAGGACTAAAAGTTATTTTTTTAATCTTAATATTGCTGAAAGATATAATCTGTCTTTTGATGAATTAAATTTGCTAAAACCATTTTACTTGCTTTGGTTATTTTAAGACAACTGAGGGTACTATGTCTATTAGTGTAGCAGCAGATCTGATGTATTCTCTTTTCCCTTTTTCCTATTTCCAGGGAAGCTGTGATTAAGCACTCGTTGGTGCATAAAGTGTACTTGGACTTTTTTACCCATGCGCCCTCAAAGCTAAGATCAGTAAGTTCTTGGTTTTAGTTTTTAGACCAAAACATAGAAGAGCCATATTAATATGTAAAATACTGCTTTGGTATACATTGTCTTTTGGGAATTTTGAAGAGCTACTTATTTAGAGAAGATAATGCAGTAAACTTTTTTTAAGCAAGTCTGCTAATTGCCTTTAGATTTTTACCAGAAGGCAATAGAATTGACCATAGTTTTATCAACTCCATTTAATTTTTGTATTTTAATTATAATCCAGCTAACCTAATTTAAAAATTAACTAACAAATAGAGGTATATTCAGCATTCAAGTAGTTTGAAATTCACCTGTACTGATACAAAAAAATTATGTTGGTGTTAACAGAGTAGAGGAGGAAAAGGTTAGAGGAGGACAATTATTTAAAACTAAATGAACCATGAAAAACTGGACCTCATGTGACAGAGAGCAAAGAAACAGAGACCAAAGGTAAATTGCACTGGCCTTCAAGTCAGTGATGGGAGTACAAATGAGAATTCATCGTTTAGTCCCTTGAACTTTGCTTGCCTCACCGTACAGTGAGCTCATTGTCTTCATCCTAATAATAAGGATCACTCGAATAATAACACTTACTTCCTAACACATCTGCCAGACTAAACATTCATAAGAATGTTGACCTGCCGGAAATTAACATAGAAAATAATCTCCCAAGAATGACCTGAGCTTATAGCTCATAACCATAGCAGCTGCTGCTTCTTTTGGGGGAATTCTTTCCCGTCCCTGCACAGTACAGTGTCTCACAGTTCTAGATGTATTGAGGTAGGACTATTTTCAGTACTGAAAAATTATCATTTCAATACATTCATTGGTGGAAAAACCTTTCTTTTTAGTGTTAAATGTGTTTTAGTAATAGCAAAAACAATCATTGGGAACCCCATGTCAGTATAAAATAAGGAGGCATCTCTTTTCTGGTCCTGCGGGCATTTTCAAAAGAAAGACAAAAAAAACCCTTTGGGGATAGTGGAAGCATAATTGGAATATATGTATAGCTCTCCAGCTGGAGAGCTTTGAAGAGATTCATAAGTTTAGGTACATAAGTTGAAATCTGTGCTGTTGAGATTCATCCTGGGTAAGGATTGTAAGATAATTAAGGATGGAATTGCTTGTTCCTTATTGAAGAAAATAGGCATCTACCTTCCTCTCTCCTGAAAGGAGACTTTGTGCTTATTTATTTAACATAAATTTTTTCATTAGGAATGGACTAAAATGGGTTCCTGTGGTTGTCAACTGCCAGAACTCATTTACATCTATATGTTCAGCTTCCAAAATATAATTTAAGCCAGACTACCTTGTAAGAAATAAACAATTGTTTTTTTGTTTTTTGGGGTTTTTTTTTTTTACTAAAGAGTCATTGATTAGTGTTGGTCTAGTCTAATATAGAGATTAATTTTATTAGGGGAATATTGTTTATTGCTTTGATGGTGAATTATTAAAGTGATTTCTTGGAAGAAATCCAGTGATAAACAAAAAAAGAGAGACATTTTAGCCCAAACTAGTGTTTTGGTTCTCTTCCTTTTTAGGAAACAGCATTTTATTTATTTTATCTGGCTTTTCTATTACCTTTTTGCTATAGCCACTTCCTAACCTGTTTCTTAAAAATATCATCTAGAATATATTGTATATATGCAATATTCTTTAAATAGACATTTTAATACAGATATAGTTGACAAAATAGAAGTATATCTTAATACAGATATTGTTTGATAAAATAGAAGTGTATTTTAATAGAAATTGCTTGTCAGCAGTATTTGCCACTCCTGATGGAAAAGAATATTCTTAGAAAGATGATATGTATGCATGTGCATACATGTATGTATGCATTGTCTACAAAATGAACAATTAAATTGTTTGCTACCTATAATCTTTTTCATCCTCTGCGCTTAACTGCTCCCTAGTGGACAGATTAGTTTTGAAGGCAGGAAGAAAGAATAAACTGAAGTCTTGATGGCATTTGTTCCACAGGAAATGATCGAAGCCATCCGTGAAGCCGTGGTGTACCTGGCGCACACACACGATGGGGCCAGGGTGGCCATGCACTGCCTGTGGCATGGCACGCCCAAGGTAGGTGTAAGGGCTTGACCTGCCTTTCCTTAGACTTTCTGTCTCCTTTGGTCCAGACCTTGTTGTGCAGAAACTGCTTGTCTTTGCAAAGTTGTGCCTCAGGGCCTCTCAGGAATTGGCCTTCTTTGGGCCTAGTCCTAAAAGGTAGTACTAGTAGTAAAAGACTCTTTTAAGTAGTGAAGTCAGATTATTTTAACTTTATAGTTTATTTATAATAGCAATTGTTTTCATGGATGGTTGAAAATCTTGAGCTATCATTATTTGGGAAGGGATCTGTCAGTCAAATCAATACAATATTTATCTTAATGGGAGAGGAAGCAGGGAGAGGAGATGGTGAATAGTTACGCATTTGTTCTTACAGATGTTAAGTATTTTCAGGAGAAAGTCCATATTAACTGCAGAAGTTTAACAGAACTGATATTCATTTCTTTGATCAATATAATTCTGCCTTCAAAAGACAGTTGTACTTTGTCCACTTTTTACATTAATACAAATTTAATTTCTACAAATATAGTCTATTGAATGCCATAGACTGTATATTTGAATACTGTTCAGACATTGGAAGATGGATCTCTCATTCCTCACTGTAAAAGAAGGTCATTTCACTAAGTTAGGTTTGCCACTCATAATTTTATGGCTCATGTTTATATATGAATGGATATCACATACTATTATAAGATTCTAATAGCTCGAAAGGCTAATATATTGCAAAATTTTTTGTTCTGGCTGTATAGCTATTTTCACTAATGAAAATAGTTAGAGACCAGAGGATAGTATAAACCCATTCCAATGACTACTTAATATTAAGTCAGAATTTTACCTATGAAATACCTTTAATCTATAACTAAAATTTGAGACAATTTTTCTTTTTTAAGGACAGGAAAGTGATTGTGAAAACAATGAAGACTTATGTTGAAAAGGTGGCTAATGTAAGTATAATATTTCTTTCAATTGCTAATAAAATGAAATCATGTTTATTATAGAAAATTTGAAAAATTAAGAAAACTACCAATAAATTTATTCTTTATTTTATTACAATCTTATTCTATGCATTTGCATGCATTTTTATATAATAAACTTACACAAAATGAGATTTTGCCTTTAACATTGCATAGTGACAAATTTTCCACTTTTATTAGATACTTTTCAAAGACTTGATATTTGCTATGTTATTTAGTGAATTTGTTCAATCATATTAATTATGTATGGAAATTGCTGCCTAGAATAAATTCTAGTTAAGTTTTTCAGATCTTTGGAATCCTTTGGAATTGTAACAGCTTTTCTGGTGAATTAGAGGATATACAAAGTTTTTGTGAGGCATTAATGACCTCATTAATGTTTTGCATACCTACAACTATAAACTTACTTTTTCCGCCCTGTATTTATAGTAGCAAATACTCTTAACATTTTTTGAGTTATTTTATATAATATGTTTTATAGTCTCTTATTTATTGGAGAACTAAAAGTAGTGATATCAACAACTTTTCCCTATGAAAAATCTAATAAGAACTACTAGCATCTTAATATAGTAAATACTAACTCAAGCACATTTGCTGCTGTGTGAATGAATACATACCTATTGTCTTCTGTAGGGTTGGAGACCAGGAGGAGAGTATAAAACCACTTAAAAGGCAGCTAACTTTTCTGTAGCAAAATGAAATCAGATTCTCTAGTGTGTTGTTTCAGAGTATGAGAATATTTTATGATTTATTATTCATCATCAAGTAAGTCTTTTTGTATAACATTTTAGTTTGAATATTTTAAATTAGAAATAAATATAAACAAGATGTTAGTAGAAAGTTCTAAAAGTTAGTAGTAAAAGATATTTTTAAGTAATAAAATTAGATTATTTTAACTTTATAACAACATATTTTCTCTAGAAACTATTTTATTTAGAAACTAGTTTATTTATAACAACATATTTTCTCTAGAAACTAATCGCCACATGGCATTGTGATGATAACAAGAAATTAACAACGCAGTGTATTTTTTTTTTTTAAATATATTTTATTGATTTTTTACAGAGAGAAAGGGAGAGAGATAGAGAGCTAGAAACGTCAATGAGAGAGAAACATCGGCCAGCTGCCTCTTGCACACCCCCTACCAGGGATGTGCCTGCAACCAATGTACATGCCCTTGACCGGAATCGAACCTGGGACCTTTCAATCTGCAGACCGACGCTCTACCGCTGAGCCAAACCGGTTTCGGCAACGGCAACGCAGTGTATTTTTTATCTCAAGGAATTCCTTCTAAGGGGAGAATTAAATTAACACAACCCATGCATTTGACTTATGGATTATTTAGAAGTGTATCATTTCCAAATATTGGGGGTTTCTTGACATACTCTATTATTTCAATCTTCTTTTTTTTTTTTTTAAATATATTTTATTGATTTTGTACAGAGAGGAAGGGAGAGAGGTTGAGAGAGTTAGGAACATTGATGAGAGAGAGTCATTGATCAGCTGCCTCTTGCACACCCCCTACTGGGGATATGCCTGCAACCAAGGTACATGCCCTTGACCGGAATCGAACCCAGGACCCTTCAGTCCCCAAGCCGACGCTCTATCCATTGAGCCAAACCAGTCTCAGCTATTTCAATCTTTTTCTAAATACTTATTTTATGGCCTAACATGGTCTATCTTGGTATGTTGAAAGGACTATGTCTTGTGGAATTATAGGGTATAGTACTCTATAAATGTCAATTAGATCAAAGTGCTTGAGAGTGTTGTTCAGGTAATCAAAATCTTTACTAATTTATTTATCATTGTTCTAAGAGTTGCTTAAAGAAGCCTTAAAATCTCAACTGTAATTGTGCATTGTCTATTTCTCACTTAAATTCTGTGTACCAGCTATTTTTGTATTCACTCAGAGATGTTTTGTGCTTGGGCATGTTCCTGTGTGTCAGACTTAAAAAATCAGAAACCAAAGCTGTGTACTATATGCACATTTTTCCCTTCTTTGCTTCCTTCACTTAATTTCTTTCAGGGGTCGTTTTATTTCAACATATATGTGTACATCTATCTACCTACCTCACTTTTTTGATGACTTCATAATATTTCATTATGTGAATTTCATAATTTATATAACCAGCTATACTATTGGATACTTAAGTAGTTTCTAGTTTTTTGTTATTTCAAATAGTACTCCAGTACATGTCCTCCAGTACAAGTGCATATGTGGAAACATGACTATAAGATAAATCTAGAACTAGAATTGATAGGTCAGAAAGTACATGCGCCGAAACCGGTTTGGCTTAGCGGTAGAGCGTTGGTCTGCGGACTGAAAGGTCCCAGGTTCGATTCCGGTCAGGGGTATGTACGTTGGTTGCGGGCACATCCCCGGTAGTGGGTGTGCAAGAGGCAGCTGGTCGATGTTTCTCTCTCATCGACGTTTCTAGCTCTCTATCTCTCTCCCTTCCTCTCTGTAAAAAATCAATAAAATATATTAAAAAAAAAAAAAAAAGAAGAAAGTACATGCATTTTAAATTTTTTTAGATGTTGTGAGTTGCCCTTCAAAATAGTTGAACTACTTTGCATTCTCACCAACAACATAAAAGAGTGCTTGCTTTTCTCCAGACCTTTGCCAAGTTAGTATATTATCAAGGGTTTTCACTTCTGCCTATATTTCATTGTTTTTAATTATTGCCCTTCATTAATGAGCAATATTTCATATGCTTAAAGCCATTTGTATTTCTCTTTCTCAATGAACTGACTCTTCATTGTCTTTGCCCATTTTTAGTAGATTTTTTGTCTTTTATAGTAAAGATGTTAGACCTTTGTTATTTGTCTAACTGAAATGTTATTTTTTTGCCATACTCATCAGACCGGGCTCTGAACAGAATTATCAAAATCAAATGCCCTCTCAAAATTAAAAAGAAGGTTCATATTATCTAGGATACAAGAATAGGCCTCAAACTCTGAATGCACTTTCTTCTTCTTTTTCATAAAGTAGTTCTTTAACTCTTTGGAACTATATCAGCATCCCGGAATAATTCTATTGGTTCAAGAGATGAACATTGTGAAATTCACAGTGTGTATTTGTATGATCTCTTGCTGTTATACTTTTTAAAAACAATTATTTTTATCTTATTTTCATTCAGTATATAAGTATGTTCTAGTTTATTTTTAGTATTTCTAGTCTAATTATGTAGAACTATTTTAAAGAAATTGGACAATATATAAAGGAAAATGAAAAGTTTTTGTCCTTCAACCCAGAGGTGACTATTACATTATAATGTTCTAAGATTTTCTGTGTACATGTATTTTATATACTTTGTATATGTATACTTTGTATACTTTGTATTTGAGTTTATATAATAGTGTTATATGTTTTATATTCTTGGGTTTGTTTTTTTTAAAACCTATAGCATTTCTTTTTTAGTTTAATTTTTTTAGTAGCTATTCATTAACAGAGTACCTGTTTTTTGAAAGATGTTATATCCTGGTTAGTTAAAAATGAGTCCAGGCTATTTGATATTGAAGAATGTGCTTTTCTGTTTGTTTTTCTTTTTTTTTTTTTTTTAATCAACCTAGAATATTATTAACTAGGTCCTGATAAGAATTCCTTTGAGTGGCTTTTATCCCTCTTCTTTGTATTATGTTGTCAGGTTACCATGTTGGTAACCTTTATAAAGTGACTCAATGGGTGGAATAAAAGGGAGAAGCTGTGCATTTTTTAACCTTTCCTGGCTTTCGATTCTTACAGGGCCAATACTCCCATTTGGTTTTACTGGCAGCGTTTGATTGTATTGATGATACTAAGCTTGTGAAGCAGATAATCATATCTGTAAGTAGTTCTCATGGTCTTGAATTTAAATTACATTGATATATCATTTGTGGATTTGTAAGTGTTATTTCACATGTATCTATGTAAAGACTTTGAAGTATTTGTTCCTTGATGGTATCTCATTATTTACTAGTTGACATTAAATTTCTTTGAAGGATTTGCTTTATTCTTGTATAAGCCATAATCTAGTAACTTGATATTAATAATTTATATTGTTTTAAAAATGTAAAAGAATGGTTAAATTAGGATAACATGACTTTTTAGATGATATGACATATTAAATGACAATTTAGCAAAACAGTGCTTAGATTTGATTAGTTATTCATGGACATAGTAATTCTTCAATTATTCAAAAGCTCATATCTAGGCAGAGGACACCTGTGACCTTTCTCCCTCTCTCTGTGGAGAAACTACCCCTGCACAATTACTCAGCCTGTCCATACATCTGTTCTGATTGAGCTGGAGAAGCAAATCTAATAAAACTCAATTGTGATCTTTCCTAGAGCTTTCATGAAAAAAGTTTTTGTGGAGTCAGATTAAAAATTGTTACTAAAATGAAAATACTAGCTGCCTTTTTACATTTCAGCAATTCCTTCTAGCCTAGTATAATGACCACAAAGTGGTAATAATTGAATACAATTTATTTAACCTTAAATTTGCCTTCAGAAAACTTAGCTGTCCTCTTGAAAGAATTACTCCACAGTAAAAACTGCATTTCAAAATCATTTCCTTCATTCGGCAATGATTGACTTCTGAATCTGTGCTCTACTCTTCCCTTCCTTTATTTCTAGTGTGCAGGTAGTGTTAGATATGCAATAGAGGTTTCAGGGGTGGGGTTCAGAAATTGCAGCATTGGTTGCAAGGACAAAACTTGGGTACATTGTAAAAATTACGTAATCTGTATAGAAATATTCATCTGAAAACTACACAAACATTTCTCTCTGATACCATGGATGGGGCCCTTGGAGAAATCTCAGTGATAAAAACTATTTTCATGCCATCTGCAGAGAGAAGCAGATGCAGTTCAGAAAGAGACATTACCTGTTGGCATGTGGCAGTGCTGTGGCCTCTCTGCAGCCTGTCTGGACCAGTAGAGCTGAGTGTATGGGAAAATGTAAGAGCTAGCAGAGGGGAAGGAGATTTTTCTTAGATGCCAACTGTTGGTGCAGTGTGTGTGTGAGTTTCTCATGCCCTTGCTGTCATTTTCCAACTTTCCCCTTGACTGTTTTAAGATTGTGATGACTTTCCTTGGGATAAGATTGTGGGAAGAAACCATTTGGCAAGACTTTCATGTCACAAACTGAGTTTTTTGACATGTTCCTTGTAACTATTACCCTTTTGACTCCAATCAATAATGATTGTTTTTCATTCCAGTGACAGTGATGTGAGGCCATAGATTTTATTTTTTTTTAATGAATAAAGTTGTTTCATGAAAATGGAAATAGGCTGGGCTATTCAAAGTTTGCTTTTGTTTAATATTTTCAGGACAAGTAAAATTTGTATAATTGTTCCAGATAGATTTCAAGAAAAAGCAGACTTCCTTCAGGATTTGCCACAATTTGTCTGCTGGATTTTTCCCAAAGAGTTAGCCCACTGAAAGTTGCTGTTGAAACAATTTTGATTCTTTGTGCTTATCAGATTGATTCCCACAATTACTTAACCCACATTCCTAAAGACTTTCTCATACTCAGGGCAGCTTTCCGAGAATGGCCTGATTTACTGATCTCTTGCCTCTAACTGACAAATGCTCAATAGCTTCTGTGTATCATTACACTACGCAGCTAGTGATGAAATTCTGGAATGCTAATTGCTCTTGCGTTTTCCCCACCCATCTACCAGAAAACCTGTTGCATTATGCAGTTGCTTTTCAAAATACACAAGAAAGCTTAGTGTTGCTAAGAATTCTCTTAGGATGGTCAGACTTCCTAAAATACCAGGTTGAAATGACAGCCTGGTCAGCTGAGCCCTCACCTTTCTAAATGGACACGCACACCGCCCTGGCCAGTGTGGCCCAGTTGGTTGAGTGTCGTCCAATGCATCAAAGGGTTGCCGGTTCATTTCCCCATCGGGGCACACGCCCAGGTTTAGGTTCTGTGGATCAGGAATGCATAAGGGAGGCAGCCGATCAATGTTTGTCTCTCTTAATGACGCTTCTCTCCTTCTCCCTTCTTCTCTCTACAAATATCAATAAAAAACATTCTTAAAAAAATAGATACACACTGTTTCCCACCTACTTTACTTTCCAAAATAAACATACAATTTTATCCATTTTACCCTGGAATTGTTGGTATGATGCAGCTGCTTTGATGGCAGTGTTTCTCTGGAAAGGAAATATATTATCTTTAAACATACAGAAAGGTATAAAGAATTATACAGTGGGTATTCAGCTGCCTACTGTCTGACAAAGAAGTGAAACTTGACAAATACAGTAAAAATTCAAGCTCTTTGTGTACTTGCTGCTGATTGCATATCCACCCACACCCATGGTGATGAATTTTATTCACATGCATTTCCTATCCTTTTGCTATACGTAGATGTATATAGTACTATTTTGCATGTTTACAGATTCCATATCAGTAATGTGTATATTTTCTCATGTAACTTCTTTTTTCTTTTGATACTGTGTTTGTGGAATTCATCCTCAGGAGTTGGCAAGCCTTTTTTAAAAGGGCCAGATAGTATTTAGGATTTGTGGGATATATATGATTTCTGCTGCCTGTTTATTTCGTTTTTATTCTTTAACAACCCTTTAAAATGTGAAGACCATTCTTAACTTGTAGGATGTACAAGAAGAGGCTGCAGGTTGCCTATGGGTCTTCGTTTGCCCACTCCTGTTCTAAATCATTTGTTACAGTGCTAAATAGTGTTTTACTATAAATATACTGCAGTTTATTCTTCCATTTTTTGTAGCTGGACACTTAGATTGTTTAGAATTTTAAAAAGTCACTATTTTTTGCTATTTCAAATTATTCCATGAGCATTCTTGTATGTCTCCTTGATTCTCTAAGTATTTACTTAGCACAAAATTGCCAAATATGCCGCATATGTTTGTATACAGAGTCATGTGTCTGTCCCACAGAACCACTGCAAAACCTGTTGCATTGTGTAATAAAAATATATATATTACTATATAGCCGTTTTCAGTTTGCAGTGTGAACTTTCAATTTTGCTCCTGGGAATGGCCCATAAGTCAGGCAAATGCATCATTTCCTCTTACAGAAAAGGGAATTAATGTGTGAGGAGGTTAAAAGATTTGCCAAAGGCTACTCTGCTTGAGCTTAAAGACTGAGTTCAGCAAAAAAGTCAACTATATCAATAGTTGCAATAGTTGACCAGTTCTTCTTACCTATTTCTCCATGAGCTATACTCATTAGTGTTCTCCTAGCTAGAATTTCTCTCCTCTTTGTAACTAGGTTAAAGAGAAATGAATTAGTACTCTAATATGACAGCACTCACAGTTTCCTTTTAGATAAGTTTTTGTGGTAGGAAAGCTGAAATGAGGGTGAGATCGAGGAGAATTAAGTGATTTTACACTCAAACATAACTTTAGATTCTCATTTCCTTAATTACAAACTGAAAGGCAGTAAAGTTCAATGAGTTTGGGCACTAGTCCTTGAATAGAGTTTGTACATGGAATAAGCTTCTCTTGTTAAGGTGAAAGCTTTTCTGCCCACGTCTATGTATATTATTACCCTAGTCCTTTAAGTGTGAAACCCACGGAGAAAGTAAGTGTATTGAGGAATGAATAATAGCAGCCATTTATATTTCTTCACTGAATACTTCACCCATTTTGAGTTTTTGTTTTGTGTGTGTGTGTGTGTGTTGTTGTTGTTGTTGTTTTTTAAGCAACTGTTTTAAAGGAATTATAGCCAATAATAGTATTTTAGGACAGCAGGTTGTGGGGTTTTTAAATGATTACAGAAATTGGCCTAAGCTATGTATTCTCTTCACTCTCTTCTTTCTCGTGAGTTGGTTGGTTAAACATTAAATCCATACTAATGGTAACCCATATTTGTGGCACTAAATGCTTCATTATCCAAAATGCATATGTCGATCCCTGACCTGTGTGGTTCACTTGGTCGGAGTGTCTTCTTAGGCATTGAATGGTTGAAGGTTTCATTTCTGGTCAGAGCACTAACCCAGGTTGTGAATTTGAACCCATCAGGATGTGTGGGAGACAACCAATTGATGTTTCTCTCTTCCTTCCTCTCTAAAATCGATAAAAGCATGTCCTCGGGTGAGGACTTTTTTTTTTTTTTTAATGCATATGTTGAATCCACTTTGGGTCATGTTTACCTTGAAATTACAAAAGAGCTCCCTCTTCTGTGAAGTGTACAATTTTGTTCTGTCTTGCCTTTTTTATTGAAATGTTAAGTTCAGTTCCTTGAATGGTTGAAATTTCTATTTTTTTGAGGTGGTTAGGTCTATTGCACCTGTTCTCTGGAAACCTTTATGTTGTAAAGGGAAATCTTTATACATGACCTTCAACTTCTTCAAAAGTAGAAGAGCAGAGTGGGTTTAGAATCATGGAAAGAGGCGATCATGTCCTGGATGTGTGACCTTTACTTATCTACTTTAAGCCACCTTACTTATTAAACCTTGGGCTTCTTACATATAAAATGAAAGTAAGCTATAGTACCTTTGTCATCATGCTGTGAGGCATGTTTAAGATGATGGACCTAGCACTCTCAGATAGGGTCTGGTTCTTAGTGAGCACTTAAATGTTTTGTGCCAGAAATGAGGGATGTTTGAGACTTTAAAAGGGACAATGTGTCTGGAATCTGTTTGTGTCATCAAATTTGGGGTCATGACTTTGCTGTATCATGGTCCCATAGTTGAAGATTAACAATTTTTTTCTTTTTAAGATTATTTTATTTTTAATTAAATTTATTGTTGTGACCTGGACTAATAAAATTATATAGGTTTCAAGTGTACAATTCTGTAGTACATCTTTTTTGCATTGTATGTTCACCCCCAAAGTCAAATTTCCTTTTGTCACCATATGTTTGACCCCTTTTACTCTTTTCCTTCCCCTCACCCCCTTTCCCTCTGGTAACCACCATACTGATGTCTATGAATTTTTACTCATTTGTTCATTTGTCACTTTCAGTTTTATGTCCACGTAAGAGTGAAATCATATGACTTTTTTTACTTTTTCCATCTGACCTCCTTCGGTAGCATATTCTCACAATCCATCCATGGTGTCACAAATGGCAGTATATCATCTTTTCTTATGGCTGAGTAGTATTTCATTATATGCATGTACCACATCTTTACCCAGTCATCTGTCGAAGGACACCTGATTGTTTCCATATCTTGGCCACCATGAATAATGCTACAGTGAACATAGGGCATATATCTTTATGAATAAACATTTTCAAATTTTTCAGGTAGATACCCAGAAGAGGGATTGCTGGGTCATGTGGTATCTCTAGTCTGTTTTTTAATGAACCAACATACTGTTTTCCATAGTGGTTGTTCCATGTTACATTTCACCAGCAGTGAATGAGGGTTCCTCTCCACAGCTTCTTCAACACATGTTACTTATTTGTTGAAAGTAGCCATTTTACAGGTATGAGGTGGTATCTCATTGTTTTGATTGCATTTTCCTAATAACTAGTGAAGTTGAACATCTTTGCAAATATCTATTGGCCATTTTTATGTCTTCTTGGGAGAGGTGATGACTGACTTAATTTTTAGTTTGGTTCCTTGCACTAAAATTACTGATCTTATTGCAGATCTAGGCCAAAACCAGTTTGGCTCAGTGGATAGAGCGTCGGCCTATGGACTGAGAGGTCCTCCTGGGTTTGATTCCGGTCAAAGGCATATATACCTTAGTTGCGGGCACGTCCCAGGTGGGGTGTGTACAGCAGGCAGCTGATCAATGTTTCTAACTCTCTATTCCGCTCTGTAAAAAAATCAATAAAATATTTTAAAAAATAGTGTAGCAGATCTGAATATATCAACTCATAGAGAATTCATTTCCTTGAAAGAGACTAGAGTTATCGATAGAATCAGGGACCAGAACTTGTCAGAGTCCTGCCACTGATACTCTACATCCTGTGGCAAAGTTACCTCTCCTCTTACTCGTTCCTCATCTATAAACCTGCGTGATTGGACCTAATTCTTTCTATGGCCCAGCCAGTGCTGGAGAATATCTGGTGCTAAAACCTGCATGGCTTTGGGTATCTATTAGGCTGTGGCATGAAATAGTAATGTTAGAGAGGGAAATAGCTGATGGTTTTTCTGTTGTGCATTATTAAATTTAAAGGGATTTTTAAATAGTGAATTTTCTGTTTTGGAAAACAGCAAATTTACACAGGAGCTTATTTGAGGTAAGGATGCCATTGCTATTGTTCCTTAAATTCATACAACTAGAAAAGGTTACTGTTCATAGAGTGTAGTTACTTGTAACTGCTCTGTGGTGTTTTTCTGCATGTTTCCCTCCCCACCTCTTTCTTTCCCATGTCATACTTAAGTAGCCTTCATTTGCCATGAATGAGCAACCTAACTTTAAAAGCCTTTATCCACTTGTCCTGTTTAACAGAGTTTCTTTATCTCCTTCCACATACATCTCAATGGGAAATTCTAATAAGAATGTTCTTCATCAATGCTAATGCTACACTTAAGTGCAGCTGCAAATTAGCTGATCTGCTCTGGTAATGGTGGCCTAAGACATATCAGTTATATAGTAACTGAAGATAACTGCTCTAAGTGTTTTTAAATCTCCTTGGATTTTCAGCAATGCTAGTCACAGCAGAGAATCTGTTCTGTGCTCTGAGTGTATATCTCTGGTGCTTTAATGAGACGATTTCACAGCTTGCTGCACATTTTCCATTAAGTATGTTGGGGGAAACAGTTCAGTATGTATCCTTCTTTGCCATTTGGATTCCAAGCATCCTTTGAGCACACACTCACTTTTTTTGTTTCTGTAATTTTACAGGAAATTATTAGTTCCTTGTCTAACATATTAAATGACAAATATGGGAGGAAGGTCCTGTTGTACCTACTGAGCCCCCGAGATCCTGCACACACAGTACGAGAAATCATTGACGTTCTGCGGAAAGGAGATGGAAACGCACACAGGTAAGCACAGTAGACAACTTGTGCCCTTTGTCCTCGGGGTTATTAATTTCGGTAGTGCCTGCTTCCAGAAATCTGCATGCAGGCCCCTTCTCATGCCCCTTCTCTCTCCAAAACTCCAAAAGAGAATTCCATTTTTAAACCTGTACTCGTTTTTATCTTGAAAAGAAAAGTGTTGTGCCGGAAGAATGCCTGTGAGCCCCTTGTACATAGTAGGTACTTAGGTGTGTGTGATTTGTTTTGGTTTTGCTTTATTTTTAAAACTGTTTGGTACCACATAATTGAGTATTTTAGAGAATAGAGTTCATAAAATAATGTAAACATGGGTTGTCTTAGAAGATTCTTGGTCGTCATTTGGGTTTGCTTTTTTATTATGTAAGGCAAGCTTCACTTGTTGAGTGCTGGTTCTGTCCCAGGTCCTAGTCACATCCTGAGGACACAAGCATGAAAGACACATCCCACCTTCAAATCACTTACGTGCATGCATAACAGAAAGATACAATTACAGTAGTGTGTGCTACAGATGGTTTTAGCGGTTTTTGTGAAAATACAATCACCATATTTCCTTGGTCATTTATCCCACCTTACTACTCATTCAACCTGTTCCAACAGTAAAAAAGATACAGAGATCCGGCGCCGAGAGCTCTTAGAGTCCATCTCCCCAGCTTTGTTAAGCTACCTGCAAGGTCACGCCCAAGAAATGGTGCTAGATAAGTCTGCCTGTGTGTTGGTGCCTTGCATTCTGGGAGCTGCCATCGGAGACGTTCAACCTGCCATGAATGCCGTCGCCAGCTTGGCAGTAGCAGAACTGCATCCCGGCGGCAAGGATGGAGAGGTATGTGCTCTTAGCCAGGCAGGAGCGCTGCAAGGGGGGTTTCAGTGATAACTGTCTCACTCACTGCATATCGGCAGTGCGTTTGAAAACAGAATTCGAAACAGTGCTTTTGCAACACTGCCTTGCAGTGACTCCATGAGTAAAAATAAGTCCCTCTGTTGTCCACAATTGGCTCCAAGCTGTCTTCCTAGTGTATTCTATGCTCTTAATTCTGTTTTGAATTTGTTCTGGACTTCTGGACCTCTTTGCATTTGTCCATGCTTCTTCCCTCAGTCTCGAGTGTTGCCCATATTCCTGTGGTCCTATGCTTTCCATGCAGAAAGCTTTCTCACCCTTCAGGGTCCCTAGAATCCTTTGTGACATCTCCCCTAATTCCCTCCTAGTATAATAAAAAGTCTTTGCTGTTTCTGATAGGCTCTGCCTATATTTATTTGAGTCAACGCTGCCCCTCTTCCCCAGAAGCTTACAATTTTAGTGAACATGTACATAATATTTAAATAAAAAATATTCATTTCAAAAAAATTATCTCACACTGAAATAAGCGCTGTGAAAGAAAACTACAGGTTCTGTGGTATTGTAAGTGGGAGTCCCCCTATCCCACGAAGGCCTCTCTAGGACAGTGAAAGCTAAACTGAGACCCAGAGGATTAATAGCTCAGGGAAGAATGGTAGCAAGAAGATTCTAGGCAGAGGGAAGAGCATGTCCAGCAGCCTGAAGAAGGAAGGAAGGAGCTCACCTTGTGTAAGAACAGAAGGCTTGAGGGGTTAGAAATGGCTTAGCAAAGAGGAGAGGAAGGCAGAAGCCAGATCATGCAGGACTTGGTCCTTGTCCTGCACTAGGTGCTAAGTTCTTGACAAACAGATGTATATGGGAGCCTGTGGATCTTAGAGAAGCCCAACTGCCCTCCTCTGCTGTCCCGGTCACTCCCAACTTGAGAAGTTTGATCTCAAGATGAACTTTTTGGGGGTGCTTTTAAAGCCAGGATTCATGAAGTCCAGCCTAAACTAGTTCTCAGTGGCTGTGTTGTTTTGAATATCTGTCTTCATTTTAGTCTGGGGATTAGAAGAGACCTCCACGTATAATAGTTATTCTAGATAAAGATCTCATAAGCCTTATGGAACTTTCAACATGGCTGAGTCCTTATCTGTACACTAGAGGCCCTGTACTTGGGTTTGTGCACCTATCCCTCAGCATGGCCTGAAGGGATTGGGCTGTGGCAGGAGGCTGTGGAGGAGCCTGAGCCCACACCTGACACATGCCATTCTCATTCATCTCAGCCCCACTGTACTTGCTGCCACTGTTGCTCTGTAGGCTTGCCAGCCAGGAGCTGGGCGCCCATTGGTCAGCTGAGCAGCACTCCTGCTGTGGGGGTGCACTGACCACCAGGAGGCAGCTCCCGCATTGGGCATCTGCCCCCTAGTGGTCAGTGCATGTCATAGCTACTGGTCAACCCATCTATTAGTCACTTAGGCTTTTATATAGAGAAACTAGAGGCCCAGTGCACGAAATTCATGCACTCGGGGGAGGAGGTGTCCCTCAGCCCAGCCAGCACCCTCTCCAATCTGGGACCCCTCGTGGGATGTCTGACTGCCAGTTTAGGCCCAGTTAAACCGGCAGTCAGACATCCCTCTCACAATCCGGGACTGCTGGTTCCCAACTGCTCGTCTGCCTGCCAGCCTGATCACCCCTAACCACTCCTCTGCTAGCCTGATCGACACCAAACTGCTCCCCTGCCAGCTGAATTGCCCCCAACTGCCTTCCCCTGCCAGCCCATTTGCCCCCATCTGTCCTCCCCTGCTATCCTGGTCACCCCTAACTGTCCTCCCCTGCTGGTCTAGTCTCCCTCTCCCCCCCCCCCCCACACACACACCCACACACACACCCCGCAACTGCTTACCCTCCCCTGCAGGCCCGGTTGCCCCCAACTGCCCTCCCCTGTTGGTTTGATCGCCCACAACTACCCTCCCCTGCTGGCCATTTTTGATCACATCCATCTTGTGTGAGAGTGTGAGGGTCAATTTGCATATTACCTCTTTATTGTATAGGATGGTAATGTGGAATGGATTGTAGGCCAAGGCATGGATGAAAATAGCTTGTAAATTAATGTATTCCTGATCTTTCCTAGCTTCACATTGCAGAACATCCTGCAGGACACCTTGTTCTGAAGTGGTTAATAGAGCAAGATAAAAAGATGAAAGAAAACGGAAGACAAGGTAGGTTGTCAAACTTGACCTTTGGGTTGTAGCCTAAGTGAGATTTCAGTAATTCTTGGCATCCCTGAACTTGATGCCAGCCATGCAAGTTCAAATGAGTTTCTTGAGGGTTCAAAAATAGTGTTGTATGAGTAAGAAATGATTTGGTGGTTGCAAGTATTGCTTTAGTAGTAAATGCTAGAAATTTGTGTCCTAGAATTGTTTAATTTTTTTTTTTTTTTCTCTTTCCCTCCCTCCCCCCTCTTACTCCTCTTTTTTTGCTACTTCAGAACTCTGGCTGGCTTGGCTAGCTTTCTAAAACACCATTCTATTTCTTGGTGAGAGCAGTGCATTGGGGATGGGGATGAGGGTGGGGATGAGGGGAGAGATTTGTGAGTATCATTACCCCAGTTGAAAGGCCTGGTATTTAACTCTAGTTTTGAGGAAGGGATATGCAGAAGAAAATTATCCTTATCAGAGAATTTTGAATGGGTGCCTATTTGGCATTGAAATACATATGACCAAAGAGCAAGCCAGTGCTTCGTATTTATTGGTTCTTTATAAATCTCATGGCTATTCTGTAAACTCAGCTCTCGAGGAAGACAGCATCTCTCTCTCTCTCTCTTTTTTTTATTTTTATTGATTTTCCACAGAGAGGAAGGTAGAGGGATAGAGAGCTAGAAATGTCGATGAGAGAGAAACATTGACCAGCTGCCCTTGATACATGCCCTTGACCGGATTCGAACCTGGGACCTTTCAGTCCACCGACCGACGCTCTATCCACTGAGCCAAACTGGTTTCGGCAAAGAAGACAGCATCTCTTATCTAATTGAAAAGTTGCATACCATTCCCCTCTCAGTCCTGTCTTTGACCAAACCTTTTCCTCGTAAATTCACCTCCCTCTGGTATTAGAGCCACTAAAGACACTTTCCCCATTTGAGTAGTTTGGGCTTTCTATTACTGTATTTGAAAAAACTGACAGATTATGAACGTATGTCTTTGGGCAAGTTGCAGTTTTAATGGTTAGTAAGGCAGTCAGTATAGCAGAGCTGTCACTTCTCACTCTTCCTATGAGAATAGAGACTTGGAGCTATTTTTCACTAAATTTTTTGGAGAAGAGAAAAGTTTCTTATATTTTGAAGAAAAAACAGTGTACCGAATCATCTTTTTCAAAGCCCAGGAATTTTCTAATAGTTTTATTATTCTAATCAAAATGCACTGACAGCCCTGACACATGCCTGAAGTGTTGGCCATTTCCACGTAGCACCACGTGAGAATGGCTAGCTGCCTTGGTTATCTTTTGCTGTATAATAAGTTACCTCAAAACAGTGGTTTTCAAAAAATAATCATTTGATCAGGGTTTGGTGGAGCTTGTATTTTCTCTGTGCAGACTGCTGCTCAGCTAGGGGTTGGAGTCTACTGTCACCGTGGCTGGTTATGGCTGAGGCAAGCAACCTCAGTTCCTCTCCCTAGGCTACTGCTTGGGCTTCCTTACAGCTTGGTAGAGTTTGGTTTTAAAAGAACAAAGTAGGTGAATGATTCTTTCATGATTTAGCCTCAGAATTGTTTAGCACCACTTTTATCATACTCTCTCTCAGTTAAATGAGAGATAAAGGCCCGCCAAGATTCAAAAGTGGAACACGTTGATTCCGTGTGTTGCATAGGTGCTGCCGTCAAACATTTACTTCCTGAGTACCTCTCAGATCAGGGGTAAGTCATTGAGTACGCCAAAGAAGCACAAACATGACCAAGTGAGCGTTTCTCTTGAGTTATTACTGCTAACGTAGCTTAGGATTTGAGTCAGATTTGAAAGAAATGGCTTTGCAAAAAATGCATTACAAACCTGAACAGGAATTTTTAGTCTTAAGGGAGTTTGGGAGAGAACTCTTTTTATTAGCTTTTGTATTAAAACATACTCACAGATTTAAGGGCACCAGAGAGGAAGATTGGGGTTTTAAATCTTGGTATATGATGTCCACTAAGTTTCAGTATATTTTACAGGTGGTTTTGCAAAAACACTGGTAGAGCATGTCGGTATGAAGAACTTGAAGTCGTGGGCTGGTATAAATCGAGGTGCCATCATTCTTTCTAGGTATGTGTCATGTGTGCGTTTCTCTGTGTGGGGTCCCCATCCAGAATGCTTGTTCATGCAAAAGACTTCTCACGTTTATTTCTTTGTTCCATCATTTGCTCCCCATTGTCCGGTATTATTTTCAGTCACTCATGATTTATACAAGTATAGCAAATAGTAGAAAGCAGATATAACTCTCTCCATCAGTCCTTCCAGTTTTTTTCACCTGCCCTCTTTTCGATGTCAGGGATCGTAGAATTATAGCATTCAAAGTAATCATTTAATTGTCACATCACTTTTATGGTTTTGACCAAAATGTATTTGTATTTTTTAAAAAAGAAACATGTTTTTATTGATACTTTTAGAGAGAGAGGAAAGGAAATTGAGAGTGAAACAGTGATGGGAGAAGGAAACTTAGTTGGCTGCCTTCTGTATGACCCTTACTGGGGATTGAGCCCAAACCCAGGCATGTGCCCTAACTTGGAATTGCATGGGTTGATGCTCAATCAACTGAGCCATACCAGCCAGGACTGTATATACTTTTTAATGAATTAGTCTTGTCCTTATGAAAACCTTGACAGTTATTTTTCAAATTGTGACTGGATTTACATGTAATCTTCATTCATTGTTTTCAACTATTTAAAAAGCATTTGCTTCTGAAGTATGCACGTGAATTGTTTATTTCTAATTAAAATGGATAGAAAGCCGATGATTTGTGAATTGAGGCATATGCTTAATTTATATATTGTTCTCTATACACCGTATGTTAAGTTTATAATTTACAGGTCATCGAAAATTTATATATTCTATTCCCAGATGAAACCGTCCATTAAGAATATTCATTTAAAGTAGGTTTGTAGATTGTTTTAAAGCAATCATTGTTGATTTTCCTTGCTGCATTACCGAAGTTTGGAAAACATACCAATCTTAGTTTGAATTTCCCTCAGTATTTCACATGCAAGTGCTAGGCAATTTCATCTGTAATGCTGGTAAATGTTGTGTTTATTCAATATATGATTTAATTATATAATATACCCAAACATACACATTCCATATGAACATTTTTTCGAGGTATATCAGTATCTACACACATGAGTGACATATCATTTTGTTCATTTTCCATTAAAATTAATTTTTCACTTGATGTTTAACACCCAGAATCTGTGAGCTGAAACATTCCCTTTTTTTTATATAAATTTCTTAATCAGGAATTTGAAATGTGACCATCTACTTACATGTTCTTTCATTATACTTAATTAACTGGAAATTTCAGCAGTGCCATAAAATTAATTTATAGAGATCTCTCATCAATCTGAGCTGCCCTTGGGTGGATTGCAAACATATGGGGGGTATTATAGGTTCTTATGGAACACTGCTTAGAATTGGAGCAGGAGCACATGAAGTATTTGGGGTTCCAAAGGGAAGTGGAACCATAGATAACCTAATAATTTACTAATACAGTCATCATTTTTGTTTGGTTCTTAGAATATTGTCATGTGCTTGACTTGTTTGGTAAAATGATCTGCTTGCTTATAGTTTACTTCAAACCCTTGCAATTTTCTTTTTTTTTTCTGAATATTTTTTACATTAAATGAAAAAGCATTCTGGGTGAAAAAGAAAATCGGCCTTGTGTGCAGTCTGAAAGCTAACCCAGGGAAGCAGAGTTGTCTAGCACTTAAAGGCATGAGCTCCAGACAAACTGCCTGGGTTCCAGTCCCAGCTCACTGTGTGGCCTTCAGCACTTTATTCAGCTTCTGAGTCTTAATTCCCTTGGTTGTAAAATGAAATAAATAATAGTTCTGTGTTGTTATGAAAACATTAAATGAGATGATGCATATAAAATACTTAGCATTATGTCCAATACACATGCTCAATAAATATCAACTTTTATCACTGTGCATTAGGTGACTGACTATATGCTTAGCCAAGGTATTTAAAATAAAATTGCCTAGTGAGTCACAGATCTATTGAAAGGGCACTTTACTTTTCAGTTTCATAGGTGGCAAGCAGTACTTGTTGCTCGTATTCCATGAGTGAGAAAATGCTGCCTGGGGCTGCTAGCTTATCCTCCTCTTTCTCAACATGATGAAAGTTACAGGGACCAGGCACTTTAAACAGTGCTAACCAAGCATATGTTTAAGAAGTTCACATGTACATGTCCTGCTGAAGTGGGGGGAGAAAGACAGGAAATTCAGCCCTGGGGTGCTGCCTGAGTCACAAAGGAAGGACCTGCAGTGTAGCCCGCCTCAGGGTGATGGGTCACTCCAGCAAGGTCTCCGGAAGCAGAGCTGATGTTATTCTTGCTTAATGGCTCACACTGATTGAATGCTTACTGAGTGCCAGGCTCTGGCTAGGTGCTTTACATACAAGATCATTTGAGCCCCCAAAACAACCCTGTTAGGAGGCAGGTGATTCTGTTGTTGATCCCACTTTACAGGTCAAGAGTGTTAGAGAATTTAAATAGCATTGCTTATTATGGCTATACTGTTATTGAGTGACAGAGGCAGGTTTCAGATGTAGATGGTTAAGTGCTAAGGTAAAGCTCTTCACCCCTTCACTAAATGATTTAGCTGCAGAGTTCAGTAAGGAGGCCATTAACTGCTTCCCTTTCATGGCCCCACCTTTTTCTGTGCACCTGTTCATTCATGTGAATTCAGAGGCTCAGTGAGCACTCGTGGCCATCTGTTCTGTACTCATGGTGCCATGGAGAAAAACACCAGGTTTCTGCTTTTGAGTTCAGGTGGAGAAGGGGAGATAGAATACATGTAGTGAAATAATTTTAATGCAGAGTGTTAGAACTAAGAGTGTCAGAGTGAAAGCAGGACCAATTCTATATGGAACAGAATTGCTCTTGGTTTTCTTTGAGTGACTATGAAATAGTTTTTATTTATGTGGTTTTAGAACATAGGCTCTACTAGCCCTGTCATTTATCTGATGGAAAAACGTGTTTATAGTTACAAGGCTTGTCTCACAAGTCAGTAAATTTTGTTTAATGTGGCTACAGGTAGCACTGGCAGACGATTTAGGGATTTTTATGAAATTTAGTTTTCGTCTTCTCTCTTCAGCCTTCTCCAGAGTTCCGATCAAGAAGTTGCAAGCAAAGTCAAAGCTGGACTGAAAAGCCTGATCCCCACATTGCAGAAAAACAAAAGCACCAGCAAAGGAGTGGAAATGCTGCTTGAAAAACTGACTATGTAGATGGAAACAATTAACAAGATGGAATCAATGTTTCTCGTCTGATCTGTTTTCCCAGAGTGGAGAGAGGGGCTAGGGTCCACCGCACTGGTAATATGTGTACTTGGTATATGTGCTTCTTCTTTGTATCAGAATTTATTTATAAAATGTTTTCTAAAAATGCCCTTAAAAAAATGAATTCCCGCCATCTTCTTTATCATCTTGAGTAGTAAGTTAATCGCAGTGTGAGGGAGTGATGCAAAAGGTTTAATGGTCAGATGCAGTGGGACCAACCAAATCATAGAAAGTGGTTGCATGAGTTCCTTCAGGGGAAGACATCCTTTGTGAGCAGCAGTCTGAGAAGGCTCCAGGAGGGGCTGGGACTTGAGAGGGCCTCAGAGGAAAGCAGGATGTAGAAAGAAGAGCTAAAGCGAGTTTGGAGGGCAGTGAGGTGGGACTTACTGGTTGTGAGCTGAACTTCAGGAACTGTTGTTCACCTTAGGGCTTTGATGGATATAGGGAGGGGAGGGTACCCTACATCCAGGGCAGCCACATTCCTAGCTGCTTTATGAATTGCGTTCCACGTTAGATTTTGTTTGAAATCTACCCGAGGAAATTAAGGCTAATAGGGAGAATGTGTTAGGTGAGTTAGGGCAGAGGTTGGCAAACTCATTAGTCAACAGAGTGGCAAACGGCGGCTTGTGAGCCACATGTGGCTCACGAGCCATGGTTTGCTGACCACTGAGTTAGGGGATCACAGTGGGTAGCTTTGTTAAGGTCAGGGTCACTGGGGAAATCTACCTATCTTTGGATCTGGGCTTTCCCTATAAATAGTTTCCTTTGATGAAATTTTCTTCTTTGGGACTGTCCCTCAAGTAGTTGAACCTATAGGGTTTGAGTTAGGAGGGAGATGCTAATTTATTAACAGTGCAGATGTTTTAATTACATTCAGTTAGGATGTTTAAATTATGTAACTGCACTTGGCATTTAGCAACAAAGCTTGGAAGGTTTGGTAGAACATTCATACTCACATAACCCTCCCTGATTACCTTCAATATCAAGCTTGGTGCTTTCTCCAGGTAGCCTCTGTAACATGATGCCCACGGGGTCTGTCACTGTAACTACACTTGCTGGAGAATTGCTGGGCCTTTTCTGACAAGACAACAGGATCCCAGGACTTGACCTGCCACCTTCTCCTGCCTGGAACATTGAACTCCACCCAAAGCAAAAGAGCTGACCCATTTGTATTTCTCTTTGGCATGATTCCCCTTAACCCCCACTTCCCAGACCCCTGCCACCAGCCCAGTATAAGGGTGGAGGTGAGACAACTGGGGGAATGGGATGCGTCAAGAAGTGAATGGGGGGAAAGGCAACATCAGAGCTTGCTATTGTTTGACTAATACATTGTGAGTTGTGTTTAACATATAAAGAGTCCATTCAAAAAGTGTGGGGAACCCTACTATTTTCTATCTATGAGACTAAAAAAATAAAATGAAATACAGAATTTTAAAAGTTAGAATACTATTTATACTAATAATAGAGGATTATTCAAATTGTCTGGGATGCCATCACATGATGATTGAGCTGCATGGGACGACCAGGCAGGAGGTGGGGAGAAGTTGGGGGCGACCAGATGAGCAGTGGGAGGGGTGACCAGGCTGGCAAGGGGGCAGTTAGGGGCGATCAGATAGACAGGCAGAGGCTCTTAGGGACGATCAGGCAGGCAGGCATGTGAATGGTTAGGTGCCAGCAGTCTCGGATTGTGAGAGGGATGTCCGACTGCCAGTTTAGGCCCGGTCCCTAAACTGGCAGTCGAACATCCCCCGAGGGGTCCCAGATTGGAGAAGGTGCATGCTAATCTGAGGGGACCACTACACACACACACACACACCCTGCACAAATTTTGTGCTCCGGGCCTCTAGTAAAGTATATAACAAAAGCTGCAATCCTTCTGCCGTCCTACTCCTCACCCCTGCCTGGCCCTTCCCAGAAGCAACTACTTCCAACTTGTTTAGCTTTGCTAAAATTTTAAATATATAGTTTTTGGTGCTTTGTTTGTTTGTTTGTTTTTGTTTTTTGTTTTTAAGGGGGAGGGATTTGCATAGCAGTTCAGGCACTTTCTTTTGACTTCCTGTTATGGGACAATATAGGTTAACACTTCACCACCACTCATCCCCCACTTCTTTTCTCTTCATGTTCCCAGTATAATTATATCACTTTTGATAAATCGGTTATACTGACATGAATTATTAAATATTGAAATAATTAGTATACTGTCATTACATTTCCTAATCCATTTTATTTACCCTGAAATTAATAACTGCCTCATTTATTTTCATTTGCTTACTTTACTATATTCCTCTTATTTACCAAACTTTTAATGAGAATCACTTAAATTCTGCTCTAGCAGGTACCATTTTCCTCTTTTTTCTTTTCTTTTTTTTTTTTTTTTTTCCTTTTTTTAATTTATTCAGCCCACTAGCCTCCCATGTTATTCTGATGTTCACAATCTTTACCTTGTGGCTCTGATATCCTGACTGGGTCTAATTCACCATTTTACACCCAATGTGTGATGAGTGGGTGCCAGATGGGCTGAGATTTTTCACAGCTTCCTTTATTATTCCACTGGGCTTAGATATTTCCCTTGTGGGTCTAGTGCAATAGACCACCACTGTGAACTAACCCTGGGCCCATCCCTTCAGTCAGTGGTGGGTTGGAAGGAGCCTCGCCAGGGAGCCTTAATTGAGAAGTGTTTCTGGGGAAGGTTTCCTAATAGAGCCTCAGGGAAGAGAACCCCTATCCTGTGGCCGGCTTTGGTGTGTGCAGATCAGAGGCTTAGAGTTGTGGCATGCAGCATCTTGCAGCTATGAGATGGTCAAAAGCATGCAGAGGATGGATGAGCAGCAACAGATAGCAAGAATCTTGAACGATGGTGATGCTGCACTGCCGAACAAATCAGCTCCCGAAGTTGCCTCTTCCCGTACCTCTGGTTATCAGGATGGCCATTTATCATTTAGGCCATCCTGAATCGGATCTTTAGAAACTTGCAGCCAAACATGTCCTAAACTGGCTGTCTTTGAATTCTAATTTCCACACTATTCAACACAACTCAACTAGCGTTTTTACTCTCTTCATGCGCCCTTCCTGGAGCCACCTGGCTTTCTGGATGTCCAGAAGAATAGTTGCACAACCAGCACCATCATCGGGCCTTCCCTTCATTTCTGCTTTGCAAAGCCCATTCCCGGATCCCATGCATTTCCTTTTCTTGCTGAACACGTTTGCTTGTTGCTGCTGTTTAATAGATCAGTTGATTGACTGATTAGGTTAAAACTTGTTGAATTTTTAGTAGCTTCCTGAGAAAGAATGCATATGTGGCAAAATGTTAGACTGCATGTCAGAATGTCTTTATTCTGCCCTTTCATATTTGGGTACTTAATTTCGCTGGCTACAGAATTCTAGTTTGAAATTAATTTTGCCTCAGAACTATGATGGCACTGGACAATATTTTTCTTTCTTTGACTTGCAGAATTGCTATGAAAGTCGAGTGCCACCCTAATCCTCAGTCTTTTGTATGTGGCCTTTGGAATGGGGGTGAGGGAAGGTTCTGAAAAGTCAAAGGACTTTCTTAAATCCCCATCTGCCTTATATGTCATGTGAACTGATATGTGTTGTTTGTGTCTTTATCATTCTAAATGTTGACACTTATTGAACTATTTTAGTTAGAAAAACAAAACCTTTTTCTTCTTTCTTCATTCTGGGAGCTGTATTTGTATTGTTTCACTGATCCTCCACCCTTGTTTTCTCTCTTCTTTCTCTTTGGCACTCCTCTTGTTGAGATTTTGAATGCTGGTTTGATCCTCTGGTTTTCCTTTTCAGTTCTTAGGCTTTTTGTTTTGCTTTTCTGGGTGAGATATTTCCTCCACACACTCCGCCAGTCCTTTCTTTGTAATATTCTTTTGTTGTTGTTTCTGGGATAAAATGTCTCTATGTCTCTGGGGGTGTTATATTTTGTGTTAATTTGTTTTGTTTTACTTTGCTTTGTCTCTTCTGCAATCTGCTTTTTTTGTTTTTGTTTATTTTGGTCTCTTATGTTGGAGGCTTCCTTGGAGACCTTTGTCTTTGTTTTTATACTAAAAACTAATCAGAAAGGGGGCAGGCTCGCCGAAACCGGTTTAGCTCAGTGGTAGAGCGTCAGTCTGCAGACTGAAAGGTCCCGGGTTCGATTCCGGTCAGGGGCATGTCTGTTGGTTGCGGGCACATCCCCAGTAAGGGATGTGTAAGAGGCAGCTGGTCGATATTTCTCTCTCATCGACGTTTCTGGTTCTCTATCTCTCTCCCTTCCTCTCTTTAAAAAAATCAATAAAATATATTTTTGAAAAAAAGAAAGGGGGCAGGCTCAACCTTCCTGTTGACTATTCATTGCCCAGGTAACTGGGTGTGGATTCTGCTGTTTCACTAGAGTCCTTCAGATGTCAGATCTGCAAGCCTTTGGTCCTGGGCCACTTAACCGCCTCTAGAGAGAAACCTGCCTGGCAGCCAGTATTCTGTTTGCTCAATACATGGTGCAGATTTTCATTAAGCCACCTGCTCTCACTTCAGTGCCTCTCTTTCATGTTCTCTTGTACCTAAGTCCCTGGTCTGTAGAAACTAAGCCAACATGAGTCTATAAAATAAACTGTCAGCCTTCTGCCAAGGTGTGGGGTGCTGGTCACCAGTTTTAGCCACTACTCCTGTTTTCCATTCCAGGCTTCGTCAGAGTTTTCCCCAGTATCTGGCATCTCTCTTTGCTGTATGTTCCTGTGAGAACTAACCATCTCTTCTGCACGCACTTGGTACTTAGCTTTCTCAGCCCTGCTACTTTCTGCACAGCTTCCTTTGTTGCTATTGCTCCCCATCTGATGATCTCTCCAGTTTCCTTTGTTCCTGTGAGTTTATGCCATTCTAAGCAGAAATCTACAAATAGTTTCAACCACACTGAAAATAACTCACCTGGAGGGTTCATTTTCCATCTAAGAGCTTGCTGG